ATTTCCACGAGCAGATTAAATAATCCTCCATGAATATATTAAACATCTTCACAATCAAATCAAATAATCCTTCAATTAAGTCAAATAATTTCCCCGGAAAATTCGCATAATCCTCATGACTTAATTGAATAATATATCCTCGATCAAATCAAATAATGTCTCCACGAATGAATTAGGTGTCTCCATTATCAAATCCAATTATCTATCATTTTTTACTCAATTAAATCCTCAAGTCTCCAAATTTTCCAATTTGAAACAAATAATTTGTCTCATTTTTGTCAATTTACACCTCAAGTCGAATAAATCAAAAAATGTCTCATCGATCAAATCACATATCTCCACCAAAAATCAAGTAATACTCGCCAATTTAAAGATTCTCCGCTTCATAATTTAAATGAATGTCATACCTTTATCATGAGAATTCTATCTCAAATTACCTTACTCTCCGCGTCGTGTCATTCCAAAATAGCTTTGGGCTTGAACTGCGGTTATTGGACCAGTCTGGGCATAAAACAGGCCACATACGGGCTATTGGGCCGTGCTGGAGGAGATTCTGCGCTTCATGGGCCCGCTGAGAGGGGCTGGGAGCTTAATGGGCCACGCTAGAAGACTTCTGGGCCGCCCTTAAAGGAACTGGGCTCTTCGCGGGCCGGATAATGCAGGTTGGCGGCTGGGCTCAAGTGCAGGCCGAACGCGGGCTTACGCCGGCCGCGATCTGTGTGTGAAGCGGGCTGAGCGGGCTGCGCTCGGCCTGAGCGTTCACTCCTCCCCTTGCTGGACTTCACTCGTTGGGCCAAGGGCGAAAGTACTGGGCCTCGCTTAATCCTGGGCTCTTGGATAACAGATGATGGGCCAACACTTCGGGCCACTTCCTCGCCGGGCTAGACAGCGTCGCGGGCTGTGCCGTGTTGGACTCCTCGCGAATCTACAGGCGGCGTAAACAGGGGCTGCGCTCGCCGGGAAAAACAAGTCCTCGGCCGATCCTCGCCAAATCCTGCGATAATCACCAGCCGGAGGCGCGCCTCTACATGGCGGTTCTGATGATGCCGTCGAATCGAAGCAAATCAACGAAAATCGCCGATAATTGGGGTAGAAGACAAGAGTTGACCACCCCTTTTCTAGATCCATAAAGTTTGACCGGCGAAATCGACGGCTTTCCTGAAGGAGTTTTTGCTTGAAAACTTAAGGGTAGAACAAGCTCGACGAGAGCTTCGCGATGGTGTACGAGTTTTTCAGATCGAACGACTTTGACCGCTGGCCGGCGGCGGAGGCGGCGGCGGGCGGTGGCGAAGGTGGCGGTTTCCGGCAAAGATCGGTAGCTGGAGATTTGTCTCGTCGAGAGGATTCCGGTGGTACCTTCGGATTTTTCATAGCCTTCTCGGATCGTCGGGAAAATGCATTTGAATGCTCGATTTTGACCAAATTTTTGTTAGATCTGGAAACTTTGACCGCAAAATCGACGGCCTTCCCGGAGGAATTTTTGCTCTAAATTTTAAGGGTAGATTCACCTCGACGAGATCTATCCGATGATGTAAACGATTTTCCAATCGGAGCACATTTTCCGGCGGCCGGCGGCAGATGTCGTGGCCGGCGGTGGCGGGGGCCGGTGGAGAAGGAGGTTTCCCAATTTTTTCAGTCGGAACTCCACTTGACTTTTTTACGGGTCCCACAGACGGCGCCAATGAAGTGATAAATTTCACCCAGCTGCTTCAACTCGAACGGCCTCCGTACCTGCAGAACCCAACACCGGGGGTGGCCCCGGCGTCGGGCCTCCGATGCCTAAGTCAGTCCTCATATCAAGAGAGAGAAAGTGTAGTCATCAAATGAGTAGAGCATGAGAGAATGAGGTACCTTGGCCCCCTTTTATAGGGGGAGTGTACCTTTTGGGCCCAAGTTGGGCTTGACCCCTATCGTTGGGATCAGATGTCTTAGTGGGCTTATCCTTCAATATATATCCGCTTTATCCATTAAACTGGGTCCAGTATAATATCCTATATCAACGTCCATATCCTAACTATAGATTCCACTGCGTTAGGATTTATTTCGATAAAGTTCAATGATGTGCATGTTGTTGGACGTTCCTAACAGAACCCAACAACTGGTATCAGAGCCCAGGCTAATGCAAACTCGTGCACAGTTTGAATTTTGGACTTTTCCTGTCTACATGAATTATGTGACGCAGCGGCATAGTAGATTAGAAATTGCAATAAATTTTTGCATGTATTTCGAATCCGACTATTGTGGCCCGTATGTATGGATTTTAATTCATGTTGCATGTATGCTGTTTTTAAAGCCTTGGACATGTCAAGGAATTTTTGGGTTGGTGAATGCTTGTAATAAATTATTCGCGCGGTGGGACATCACATAGTTTATTGCTTTCATAGAAACTCATGTGCGTCTCCTGCGTGGGTCATAGGATGAATTATGTAATTGTTGTTTATACTATTCATTATTGATCCGGCGGCGTGGACCAACCTTGACGGGGCGAGGCATAAACACGTACACG